CGACAATAAAGCTTGAGCTGGCGATCGATGCCTCTCTCTTAGCCAAGCTGTTTTCATCCTATTAGCTCGAGTGCGACTCTAACGTAGATATAAAAATAAATATTACTTTAGGAATAAATAGTTACGCATGCATGGAAATAGAAAACAGGAAGTAAACCTCCTAGTTAGAGATATTTTAAGTTCTGATACCGTATAGAGTAGAAAATTGTGTGCAATTTAACTTTGAAAACAATTTTTCATTCCTTCGAGAGGGGACCTGTCAAAATATTACAATTTAGGTAACTGTCCCATAAGATTAGCAATACGTTTATACTAACATGAATTCTTTTAGCCGGCCATTTTTATTACCGGTTATTGCTATTACCGGTCATTTTTATTACCGGTTATTGCTATTACCGGTCACTTTTATTACCGGTTATTGCTATTACCTATTCACGTTCATCAGAGTGCATACACATTACACAAGTGTTATGCGAAAAAGTTTGATGCCTCTTTGTAGAGCTTAAATATTTTTAGCTGATCATACTTTGATATTTTCACTAATCTTGGAAATAGATCATTTAGTTAATTTAAAAACGATGTTTAGAGTGACTTCAATTTGAAAGCGACTAATCTTTTCTCACGTGCCTGAATGGAAAATGAGGTCATAACTACGGTTCTCTGTTGTAAAATATGTAAATATATCTTCCAGCTCTTGAACAACAGCGATAAATACAAGAGTTGCATCTTATAATTCGTCTCGGAGGAAGCGTTATTTTCTCGGATTATTCCCGCTGTAAAATACGAGGCTCAAAAGTTCACTTTCTTCTTTTCCGTAGGTCTAAATCTGGTGGCGAGTGCGGCATTGCCTGCCTTGGGCGCTCTCATGCCGTAGTTTGCATAGAAACTAGCGCCATTTTTCAAGCAAATGAGTTTCATTTTGTAACTCATGGATGTTAAAGCGGCGCTCGAACCGAGTTCATCGAAGATTGGGCCTTTTGCAGCGCCGTTCGTTAAATTTGCATCCATGGAAATTTGCTCCAATCTTGTGAGCGGAAAATCTCTGTAATTTGGAGGGCGGGCGTGGAACTCAGAAATGCGCTGGAGTCAGTCCCACAGTGATACATAACTTTTAACCGTTATAATGAAATTAAATAAGTGCTATCACTTCGAAACGTTCGAGAACATTAGTGATGAAATAAATTGGATGCATGTGTCAATAAGAAACTACAATATTCCTGTTCGTATACCCAAAATGTAGTGAACATTAGGTTCTACCTTATCTATGCTAAACTCTACCTTTAGTCCTGCAGGCATCACGGATATTTTTGCATGAATTTATATTAAACTGATTTAGTAGGTCGAATTGTTATAGACGTCTTTTATTGAGATTTTGATTCTCTGTTTAAAATTTGTTATTTGGTCTTTAGTTTTCTGTTGATTTATTATATTTTTTGTCATGTTTGTATACTGTCACGCTGCTTTTCAGGTTTCAAAAACACACAGAAATTATTATTTTCTCATGACACATCCTAGGCAAAAATTAATTTTTCTTGCACCATGATGAAGTTCATTGTTTATTAATCATTCCTCAAGCGTGAAAAATTTCTTGCATCCCAGATTTTTAATTACAATGTAATTTTTTCAGGGTGTCATTACTTATAAACCATTTGCATGCATTCAGTACAATTTTTTTATTTGTTTCGTGGATTTTTCTGCAACCTTTTTTTTGCAATTCAAACGCTTGATTTAATTTCGTTGTGTTAACGCAGGTTCAACAATGGATTCACACGGAAAGTTTATACTGGGTACACCAAAAGTCTCGACCATTACGGACCGTTCAAATTTTGGATCTTCGGGAAATCAATTCGGTTCTGATCAATTTGAACCTTCCAGCGTCAAAAATTTTGCAGAACTAGATGCATTTTCTTTCAATTCCGATGCAGAAAGTAATCCAACGAATTCCCCAGCATTTTTAACAGATTTTAAAGATTCTCTAATCGATTTTCCCGCCCCACAGACAGGTCTTAAAATCCCTGTGACCGACATAGGTATCCTTTCAACTGCAATCCAAAGTTTTCCAACCAATTCCCCAATAAATCCGACAGGTTCCCAAATACCCGCGATCGATTTTTTTGTTTCGCCATCGATCGCAGTCGATTCTTTTCCCGCCCCGGAAGTCGTAATACTTAGTCCTTTATACCGGTCTTCGGAACCTTACGCTATCGCTTTCAATCTCCGGGAAACATACGGGCGCACGTCCGAAATTTTCAGTGAGGGACCGGCAGAACCTCAACTTTCATCTGAAACTCGTTCTTGGATTAATCTTGGAACACGTACGTATGAAGATAGATCCGAGAAGGAAGCTCATAGTCCTTTATACCGGTCTTCGGAACCTTACGCTATCGCTTTCAATCTCCGGGAAACATACGGGCGCACGTCCGAAATTTTCAGTGAGGGACCGGAAGAACCTCAACTTTCAACTGAAACTCGTTCTTGGATTAATCTTGGAACACGTACGTATGAAGATAGATCCGAGAAGGAAGCTCCCACATATACTAGAAGTATTGAAGTATTGCCTGTAGACGTTGATTAATTTAATTATACGAACAGTTTTCATTTTATAATAATTTAATCACGCTATAAAATCTAATTTAATAGAATGTTATTGCCAACGCTTTCTGCTTAGTACATAAATGAAACCGCATGTCGTGAGCTCCTCTTACCTAGAACTGCCACATAATTCTGATTGAATTTAAGTTCGTATATCAGCAGTTTTTGATCGGCTTGATTGTTGAGTAATGAAGGTGTTATTTTCTCTCAGTTGCATAATCTTGCCATTGCGTAGAAGATTCCCTTCTAATCGCAATGTATAGCATTCATCTCTACTCGATTTTTATGCTTGGATTTATTTGTTTGTAATTATGATCGCTCAATAAAGCAGCTCCATGAGGTGAATGCTCGTCTGTAGTATATTTCAGTCTGTAGATCCTATCTCCCTGAAGAAATAGTAGCTGGATGGGTGTGGGAGGGGGCAGTGGGAACTGGGGGAGCTATGGGAACTGAGGGAGCTACGGGAAGTTAGGGAGCCGCGGGAACGATCTATAAGAGCCGCGGTATCTAAGGGAGAATTGTTTGCTTAGGGAGATGTTAAGCTGAGTGCGCAAATAAAATAATAGCGACGCGAACAGACAGCTTAGGGAACATTGGCAGCTGACCGAACATTGTCAGCTGACCGAACATTGGCAGCTGACCGAACATTGTCAGCTGACCGAACATTGTCAGCTGACCGAACATTNCCTGCTACACCTGCTACACCTGCTACACCTGATGCATCTGCTACACCTGATGCATCTGCTACACCTGCTACACCTGATGCATCTGCTACACCTGCTACACCTGCTACACCTGATGCATCTGCTACACCTGCTACACCTTCTTACCTGCTACACCTTCTTACCTGCTACACCTTCTTACCTGCTACACCTTCTTACCTGCTACACCTTCTTACCTGCTACATCTTCTTACCTGCTACACCTTCTTACCTGCTTATTTATTTCTTATTACGTCCTTGAACCATAATGGATCCGCATCACAATAGACCATCCTATACTGTCTCTTTCAATTGGTGCTTGACCGTAACGCATGGGTTACTATGACTCAAATTATCTGAATCGGAAATTGGACAAAACATTGTTGACTTGGAAGATGTAAATACTTGTACAGGGTTACCACACATCAATTGCATTCCCCTAAGTCTTCGTGGAGAATCATAACCCATGTCAGCAACATTATGAGCAATAGCATTTAGGTTATGATAAATCAATCACACTACCAAGGATGCGGCAAGTTCGATTGTCACTCAGCGCCTTTTAAAGGCCACAAAGGCCATCGCAAGCAACGGCTTAGTGGACAACCGCGCCTACTGGGCCACTGCCCTGGCCTTAAATTGGCTGCAAACATCGTTACTAATGTAATGGTTATAGCATGAACATTATTATGGCTAGTTTTTGACTTGTATGAACGTTATTATGGGTTATTCTTGACATGTATGAACAATATTAAGGCTCTCTTGACTTGTGTAAGCATTATTATGGCTCTCTTGACTGGTATGAACTTTATTATGGATTCTTCGTGACTTGTGTGAACTTTATTATGGCTAATTTATGACTTATTTGAAAATTATTATGGCTTCCTTTCGACTTGTATGAGGTATTCTTGGCTCGCGTGAACATTAGTTGTAATCGCTCTATTGCTCTTAGATAAAGCGTTGTGTGTACTTAGAGGATACTTTTTCATGCCCTGGATAAAGCGTTTTGTGTACTTTGAGAATACTTTTTCATGCCATGGAAAAATATTAGATGCTCTCACGTAGGAGTAACATTTCTTTTGCTATCATTGGTAATATTATTATAAGCTGTCTAAATGACTGGAAAATGCTCGTGAAGACAATTTTCTGGCAGTTTTAAATTTAAAATGTTTATTTTTAAGTCGCTTGCAAATGATCGTACCACAACATGCAGTGAAGCAAAAAGTGATTTACTTAACAATGGTTCTTGTAGATTGTAGCCAGTACTTAATCAAATTAAAGCTTTAGATTGTAGCCAGTAATTGACACGTGTTATTCATTTTTCGATTGGTTTCGATTGATTGTATTGCAGATTGGCCTCTAATTTTACCGCCAACCCAATTGCTTGCTAGTCCTGCAAACTGACTTCTTCATTAACTTTTTTGAGAATTTCTTCTATAAAAAATGTTTTACTGACCTTGAAACAAGTTAATTTGCCAATAATCTTAACATTCAGCGCCCGGAATTAATTAATTTGTCATAACCTTCTATTTCTGCATTCAAAAATACATTTCAAAAATTAATTCACTGCCTGAAATTTCCAAGATACGGAAACAAAAACGTAAATTTTCAAACCTTTACTTCTGCATTCAAGAATATGTTACAAAAATTATTTCATTGCCTGGAATTTTCAAAATATGGAAATGAAAAAATGTACATTTTTCACGCTCAGGTCGCGACAAGGTGACGACTGCGTCAGTGGAGACGAAGCAAGAGCTGTGTCATCACTCACTGAACGCGTGTCAGCGTGATGCAGAATGCGCACCTCTGCTGTCTAAGGTGATGATGTGGTGTGAACACTCACACTGCGAGCCTGACCGATGCAGGGGCGCTCTGCAGAACTTCTATCAGAGCGTGCACATCCAGAGACGTCTCGAGGTGGCCTTCTGTGTCTGCAGGTCTGTAATGATGATAATGTTTCTATAGTAATTATAGTTTCTATAGTAATTATAGTTTCTACAGTAATTAAAGTTTCTATAGTAATTATAGTTTCTATAGTAATTATAGTGTCAGTTACTACGACAGCCATGTCGTAGAAAATAGAACAGTCAAACTTGCGTTTTTACGTGTCTGCAAGTTACTAAAATTGTTATTTTAGTTCATTTATCCTTGAGTGATTTCGAGTGAAATATTATGAAATTTTAATCTTATTATTTAATTATTTAATTATAACACCATCAGCTATAACTTGCCTGTGAACATGCCAGTTATAGATGAAAAATTTGAAAATGCAAATAAAAAACCCAGCAATCATGCATTACGCGCTTTCCGGCTATAATTTATAAGCATTCGGATTAAAGAACACGTATTCTTGGCGAAATTTGACCTTCCGTGGAGCTGAAATGACGGGCGATTCTCTATTTTCCGAGCTTCTGGTGTTGTTTTGGCTCGCACAAAAATGATCCGTTCAATTCCGAGTGTTTATGTCCTCCAAATTAGATACAAAGGATTTATTTTTATAATCGTTGCTTGGTGCGTTCTGTGTTGAAAGACGTATTTTTAGAATCTTTTGTGATTTTGCCGAATAGCCTGCCATATATTTAGTCATTTTTGCTGAGTAGCACGTGGGGTGTGCAGATCTGGGTCCGAATTTTGTCTTTTACCTTTATTTACAGTGTGATTTATTTATAAAATTTGGTCCAGACTGACGCAAGTTTCGTTTAATGAAATTACAATGTCAGTATTTTTCGTACAGACAAGAATTCAATTTAGCTACGTATTCTCACTGACGAGTGAAGTTAATAACCATTTTTTCCTATAAAAAATTTCCCTAACGAGTCTCGATCTATTTTGGCATAGCTTTTAATTCCACTTCTTCTTAAAATCCCGTTTCACGCGACAAATTTGTGGTAAAGTTGTGAATTCTTCTGCATAGCAATGCTAGGCAAAACATGCAATAGTCGCAACCGGCGACACCGAGCCTTATATAATGTAAAGGAACCGAAATCTATTCATTCAATTAACTATGAGCTTTGTATGATATCATTTCTGTGAAAAATTCTAAAAGATTCCGAAAATAGTTTAAGGTGAAGCTTGATCACCGTCAAGAAAATGTGTGCCATATCTGGCGCTACTGTTTTTTTTCTTGGGATTAGCTGTTTTTTTTTGCGCGTTGAGTAAACCAGAGATGAAAGATCATTGAGAGGACAAACTGTAAAGGGTAGGGGCGAACTGAACTCGAATTAATTGTAAAGAACGAACTGGAACCGAACTGTAAAAGAAAGGAAAAATTGAATTCGAATGGTAAAAGACTGGACAAAATAAACTCGAACTGGTAAGTAAAGGACAAACTGCATGGAATCAAACTGTTAAGGAAAGGACTAACTGGAATCGTACTGTAAAGGAAAAGACGAAATGTAATTGAAATGACGGAAAGAGCAAACTACAATCCTACATTCATGCGCAATAAAATAAAATATTGGTTCGTTCGATGTCGGGTGATCGATCATCATAATTATATTAAAATATAGTTTATTGTTTGACAATAAACTAGTTAGTTTTTATTGTTAAAAGTTTGTTAATCTAGTATGTTGCTAAAAAGCATTATTATGTAGCCTTGACATTACCTCCTTGACTTCAATACATGCAAAGAAGTTTATCAAGTCTCCAAGATATTAAATCTGATGAAGTTATTGCAAAAGCCTGAGATATTTGGTCCTGTATTCGGTCGGATTGACGCAGCCGCCATCATTCGAGGCACGAGATTTGCCAGAATTAATTGACTTGCAATCCTCAACTCGAGCTCGCCGCTGCAGTCTCTTTGTTATTGACTGATATTGGCCGGCGTTGTCCTTGTTGATTGTTTGCCTGCCTGACGACTGGTGCAGCTGATGGCTGGTGCAGCTGATGGCTGGTGCAGCTGAATAATACTGGTGCTGAAATGGTTCAACTGATGGCTGATGCACCTGAATAATACTGGTGCTGAAATGGTGCAGCTGATGGCTGGTGCACCTGATGGCTGGTGCAGCTGATGGCTGGTGCAGCTGATGGCTGCATGGTGCACCTTATGACTGGTGCTGAAATGGTGCAGCTGATGGCTGGTGCACCTGAAGACTCGTGCTGAATTGGTGTGTTGGTAACCTGATGCAGCTGATGACTGGTGAAGACCTCTGCTATCTGTAATTGAAGTATTTAGTTCAACCTATTTTTTCCAAAGTCAATAAGATGCAAACTAACACCTACTGTATAGTATACCCACTGTACAGCTAAAGTGTTTTTAATGAGATTTTCGTGAGAAAGCACATAAGCTTTGTTTTGAGACGAGGCAGGATGAAAACGCTCCATTAAGAAATTCGACGATATGTAAGATTTATTTCTCTTGTACCGATTTATATAGCATTTATCTAGGATGCGATCTTCAAAATTTCTGACAGACTTCAACTTCAATCTTTTCTTGCTTGGTGTTATTGCTCGATTGATGGATAAATAATTAAGAAATTATTATTTAATTAATAATAATAATAATTAATAAATATTTCAAAAATTATTTAGAAATAGGTTTTACGCAATTCCCTTGAGTAAAGCTCGTTCATATCTAAATTTGACCCCTTCTTTACATGGCGCGCACCCTACTCACGTGAAGTTATTTCCCGTCCATTTTCCGAGCTAGATCTTCTCCTTAAGTTTTTGCAATGAATGTTGTGCTTTACTTTGAAGCAGCTCGACCAATTTCTTCACTAAAACTTGACTTCATTTCACTGAAGCTCCCTCTTTCTTCATGGTGCTGGCGTCCTCCAAGTAAACTTACTTGAACTTATACAAAAGGAAAAAAGTCGTTTTAGTTTTTCTCTGCACTATCGAATCCTCATTCGGTATCCAAATTCTCCTAAAAAGAGTACAACAGTGAATACATATCCTAAAAGAGCGAATTATTTAAAAAGTTGAAGCATGAATAAAGTATACTGTCTTAAGTAACGTAATTCAATTTGAGAATATAACGCAGATAATTAATAAGTTCAACAAACAAACCTCCTAAAAATGACAATCACAAGGAACAAACCTTGATCAAGTTGAATTGAAACGCACCTTGAAAATGTAAGTTCACAAGCAGTAAAGCATATATTGGTTGGGAAATTAACAGCTCTCAGTTCCACAGTTCCTAACTGAAAACCCGCAAGACGAAAATACAAAATACTTGATATACATTACCATAACAATTGAAACTCGCTTTTCCTTCAATAAAACTTTGTCCACCGCCCTGAGGCGTCCTCATTTCAGAAGGCAATTCTGATCCCTTCACTGAGGCCTTCTAATGACGTCCATCTCCTTGCCTCGATTTACGGCGCCTGTTTTTTCTTGCAAGATTTTACGGGGCATTCCCTGCCGTAATTAAACGACGCGCTAGGAAACCTGCAATCTGTTTTTCGTGGCAGACAAACGGAGCTTGGCGCTTTCAGGATTTTTTGCAAAGCCTTGCGTTATTCGGCATGTGGAGGCTTTCAGTGGGTGTCAAAATTTTGGATTTTCATTGCATGGAATTTCAATTGATCGGCATGCGGAGGCTTTCAGTGGGTGTCAAAATTTTGGATTTTCATTGCATGGAATTTTAATTGATTCTTTGAATTACTTGGGTAACTTTATTACAGGACTATTAAGTTTTTGATTAAAATTAATAAATATTAATTATGTTTGGTCTGAATTGACTTCATAATTTTTTACAAGTTAACCGCAAATTTCATCAAGTGCGGTTACGTCGGCTTTCCCTGCAAGGTTTGTTTCAGAATTCATCAGTTGTAGAAGAATGTTTCAATATTTATTTCCCGTACGCGTGNTCTGTTGTGTCGTCTGTTGTGTCGCCTGTTGTGTCGCCTGTTGTGTCGCCTGTTGTATCGCCTGTTGTATCGCCTGTTGCATCGCCTGTTGCATCGCCTGTTGCATCGCCTGTTGCATCGCCTGTTGCATCGCCTGTTGCATCGCCTGTTGCATCGCCTGTTGCGTCGCCTTTTGTGTCACCTGTTGTGTCTGTTGTATCGCCTGTTCCATCGCCTGTTGTGTCGCCTGATGACATTACGTCAAATTCGAATAGTGTGTTTAGTGTTGAGTTTAGATAACCTGTCGGGTAAGATTTCATTTTCTTTAATGTAAGATTTCATTTTCTTGGTTTAATAGCCGCTGCAGAATTTGGATCCTTGCTGCAGTTAATAAGTTTCCCAGCTGCAGCTAAAAAGTTTTAGTGCTGCAGTTATTGAGTTTCCTTGCTGCAGTTAATAAGTTTCCCAGCTGCAGCTAAAAAGTTTTAGTGCTGCAGTTAATAAGTATCCTAGCTGCAGTTTATAAATTTCCTAGCTGCAGTTAAATAGGTTTCCTAGCTGCAGTTAATCAGTTTCCTAGCTGCAGTTAAATCAGTTTGCTAGCTGCAGTTAATCAGTTTCTTAACTGCTGTTGAAAAGATTAGTTCGTTTTAGTTTAATTGATTTTAAGCTGCAGTTAAAAGATTTTTAACTGCGGTTGAATAGGTTGCATAACTGAGCTAAAGTGTTTTTAATGAGATTTTCGTGAGAAAGCACATAAGCTTTGTTTTGAGACGAGGCAGGATGAAAACGCTCCATTAAGAAATTCGACGATTTGTAAGATTTATTTTCGTATACAATTTATAAAGCAATTATCTATGATACGATCTCTAAAATTTCTGACAGACTTCAGCTTCAATCTTTTCTTCAAAAACTACTTCAACGTAGTTTCTCTGGTGTCAATTGCTCGATTGAGGAATAAATAATTTTAAAAATTGTTAATTAATTTATAATAATAATAATTAATAAATAATTCAGAAACTATTTATAAATAGTTTTTACGCAATTCCCTTGAGTAAAGCTCGTCCATATGTAAATTTGACCCCTTCTTTACATGGCGCGCACCCTACTCACGTGAAGTTATTTCCCGTCCATTTTCCGAGCTAGAT